CCGCTGTCTAGAAGGCATCCTCCTAATGTCCTCAGTGTTGTTTAGGTTTTGTAACCAAGCCAAGTATTTTAGTTGTCACACTGCTCTTAAATGCCACTTGCCGCCATAAATAAGGTTCTTGCCCATGATTAAAGGGCCCTTTGTTTCAAGGAATATTTATATCCTAAAGTGTCTGGGGTTCCCATAAGCCAGTTACAAATCGCAAAGCAAAAACCCTACAGGTTGCGCAAAACCGAAACCATCCAGAAAGCTGCACTTACAAAATTGTTACGACCATGGAATTGCTACTCGTTTTAAACAGATTTGTTAAGGCAAGCTGGGCTTTTTTTTTTTTTAAGAAACGCTGTTGCTGCACGCTGGCTGCCTAAGCCGGCTGGGACGCTTTCCCGAGAGGAGAAACCCAAGCAGGTGACTCTGAGACAACCAACAAGCCTCCGCGGCGCTGCCGTACCCCATCAGCCCGGGTTATTCCCCACACAGCAAAGCCTTCCTAGCGCTAACGCACCGGGGTTTACAACAGAAAGCAAAAATGACGTCACTGAGGATCAGCGTTCAAGGACTGCCCAGGTTTTTATCCATCGGATTTAAGACAGGCTGGACTCCGGGCTCTTTCCACATTTGTTTTGCCACAGCTCGGCGAGGCTGGGGATGCTCGACCGCTGCCGACGCACTTGCCTTTACGAGGGTTACTGACTGAATTTTGGTAGTATTCATTCCTGAAACTTTTGGCACCAGAGCAGCTGTAAATTCCGCCATCCTCGATCGGCGCCTTCAGCTGCCCTGCAAGGCTTGATGTTATTTCCTTTCCAGAGATTTGGTTTGTTTGTATATAAAACAACTCTCTGGCCCATGCCCAGCAGAGTGTACTGAGCTCCTGGCACTATTTCCTTTGTCAGCCTGTTGGGGCGGGGGGGTTTAAGCATCCATGGCCGCAGGAACCAACTGAGCAGAGCCCTTGGCAGGGTCTGTAAGTGCTTGAGACTCCCCATCGCCCAGAGACAGCGCTGCTGGGTGGGCAGGGAACCGAGGTCCGGCTGGCGGGGGGGCAGCCCGGCCACCAAGCCGGCTG